GGAGTTACAGACAGTTGTTAGCTGCCATGTGGGTGCTGGGATTTGAACCTAGGTCTTCTGCAAGAATAACCAGTGTTCTTAACCGCTGAGCCATCTCTCCAGCCCCATCAGACCTCTTCTTATCTTCTACCATCCACTCAGTCACCCACACACCATGCATGCTTCAATCTGGTCATACAGAGCTACTAACATCCTGTGGCCCTCTGACCTTTGCGACACTTTCTTAAAGTGGTCTGGAAACCTCTCCTTTTCCAAAGGGCAGTCTGATTACATGCTTTTCTATGTAAAATGGACTTTAAATGGTTCACTGTGTACAGTAGGTATTAGGGAAGTTGGTCTGTTTCTAATTCAGGATAGGTTGCCAGATAATAATGTCAACAAGCAATGACTCCTGTTTATTGAAAAGACTCTGTGCTAGTATTCTGAGCACTGAACATGCATTTTTTATATTATGAGATCCTCTTACACTCTCAGAAGCATTGTTAGCATTTCCACAAATGAAGAAGCTTGCCTCTGTTACACAGTAAGTCATCTGCCAAGCTAGGACTGCAACTGTGTTATCATACCCACAAAGCAGAGCAGGCTCTACCTCACTGGCACCAAGATTGGTTGCCATTCTCATTCTTTATCCTCATGGGCCTGATACCCCTGTCATCTCCAGAGGCTGATGGGACCAACTTCACCAGAACAGGTAGCATATTTTGAGAGTGCTTTGTCCTGTTCCCCAAGTAGAGGTATTTAGGACTGAATTGGTGCTTGTACCAAAACACCAAACTGGAGACCATTTAGATGACTTGGCAGGTAAAGGCATTTGCTGCCAGGCCTGATGATACGAGTTCAATCCCCAGAACCCACATGGTGGAAGTAGAGAACCAGTTCCCACAAGTTGTCCTCTGACTTCCACATTTAAGGCATGGCATATGTGCATGTGAACCCCCTCCCCAGAAGTGAAAAAATAAATGTTTTTTTTGTTGTTGTTTTTTAAATGGAGGTAGCTGCCATGTACCAAGTCTCCACTATTTCCCTAATTTGAAGTTTCTTAACTGAGGGCTTCAGCTAGTCTTGTGGGTCCAAGAGCCCTCTGAACCATTTGCAGTGTTTCATCGTAAGGCTTTTCTGTGCACATATAGGTGAGGAGCCATATGCTCAAACTTCCAGAGCAGTGCTAACCCTGACCCTCTGTGCTGATTACAGTGGAACATAAACTTGCTTTACCTAAATTACAAACCCAGACTTATCCCAGGAGTTTGGTTTTTTTTTCTCTGAAATAGTTTTAAATAGATTAGGGGTTTGAATTTTGATTTAATCTTGAGGGTAAAAGTACCTGTTTGTGTGAAGATGATCAGAAAGCCTTCTGATAGGAGTCAGCTAACAGTAGAAGTGGCTCTAAGCTCTGAAGCTGAATCCACATCTTGTCCTGCCTCCTGTGTTCAGTAAGATGTTACTTGCATAAAAGAAAAGTGAATCTTGGATGTTTAAGAGTAGAGACTGTGTCTCTGTTAAGTATTTTCATGCTGTGTAACAGAAGTTTCAGTGAATAGAGTTTCTGTCCTCCAAGTTTGCATGTTGGTACCTAAATACTAATGCCTCAGAAAGAACTGTGGTCCATAGTAGTGCCCAAGTACTGAGTAATTAATGTCCCTGCTGCAAGGCCTTCAGCTTCAGTTTATTCAGCATCTGATTAATGAGTCCCAAGCATATTCCAAAGCATGGAGCTAGGCACTGGAGGTACAGTGTGATAAACAAAACAGATGTGAAACACAAAACCAAGGAGGAAGCGGCACCTAAGTAACGGGACTTGGGTAGGTGCCATGGAGGAGATGACTTGGTGCTTTAAGGACATATAGCAAAAAGACCTGGCCTGACAAGCTTGAATTGGTGCTGCCACTACTGCTGCTGCTCTCTGCACCTCCTGTTTCCTATTTAGCCAGCAGGTAATCCTCTTTTTCCTGGGCTCTGGGTTTTAGGGGCAGCCCTGAACTAGCTAGCTTTACTATGCAGACACCCATGCTCCAGAAGTTAGCAGGAGCAGGAGCCAGGGAAAGCACAGATGTCACGTTTGTTGTGGGAGTTGACGTAAGACAAGCGTTTGAGGGGAAAAGAAAGCAACTGAGACTTAAAGATGGGAAGAGACTGAGCTGGCAGGGATTGGAAGTCCGGACAGCAAGTTCCAGGGAAGATGGGAGAGGCTTCACATCTAGTTCTGAGAGCTGTCAGCCTAGGAACCAACTGAGATCAAGGTGAGACCATTATCTAGAGAATAGCAGAGCTTCTTAGTCCAGAATCATTCTGATAATAATTTTAATGAATTTTTAATTATAAAAATAACTCATGTTCAGTGCAGAAAAGATTAGTAAAGCAAAACAGAAACATCTCATGTATCACAAATAGAAGAACCATATAAAGAGGCATGCATAGCATTCAGCACTAGAGATAAAGGATGAGGAGCCAGCTATTGTTCTGTGGGAATGAGACAGTTTTAATCAGAGATGAATTTTTTTTTTTTTTTTTTTTTTTTTTTTTAAAAAAAAAAAAAAAAAAAAAAAAAAAAAGAGGACGATAAATCTTTCACTGTGATATATCAAAATAA